CGTGTTCTTTAAATTCAACATCGAATTGATTTCCATTGTGCTAAGCGTTGCTCGCGCATTTCAGTAGCATAGTGTTCATGGCGTGATCAGAGGGAACTACTAGGCTCTGAGTTTCAACCCAGCTCAGGATATCGCAACCTGACGAGTCCAAATTAGGACGAAACAGCGGTCCTCGTGTGCTAGTGTTTGAAATAGCAACACCCAAACATTTCCATTCCGGATACGGTCCTCGCGATCGGGTTGACCGAGTTTTACCTCAAAGTTTACCGAGGTCTCAATAGAAGTTGCGAGTCGCAACCAACCCACACAGCGTTTTCGCTAAATTCAAATTAGAATTAGTTTCCCCTCTGCCAGGCGTTGCTGGCGGATCTCAGGAACATTTTTTCACGGCGTAAGACGGGAGATAATATGCTCTGGGTTTTAACCTATTTCAGTATACCTTTATCTGGTGAGTCTAAACCAGAAAGAAAAATGGTCGTTCTGTGCAACATTTGGGAGCAGTAACACCCAAATATTTCCATTCCCGTTACGGTCCTGGCGATCGGAATGACCGAGGATTACCACAATGTGAACCGAGGTTACAATAGATGTTGCAATTCGCAAAATATCCACACAACATTTTCGCCAAAATCAAATTTGTTTTGTTTTCCGCTGTGCCAAGAGTTGCTCACGTATCTCAGTAGCATAGTGCAGAAGGCGTCAGCCTTGACCTACTGGACTCTGAGTTCCACCTCTGCTCAGGCTATCTTCACCTGATAAGTCCAAAACATGGCGAAACTGCGGTCGTGAAATGCAGGTGTTTGGGGGAACCACATACAACTATTTCATTCCGGATACCGTTCTCGCGATCCGAATGACCGAGGTTTAGCTTAAATTGAACCGAGATCTCAGTAGATGTTTCGAGTCGCAAACCAACCACACAGCGCGTTTTGCTAATTTCAACTTTGAATTGCTTTCCGCTGTGCCAAGCGTTGCTCGCGGATCTTATTAGCATAGGTTTCTGGCCGTCAGCCATGAAATACTAGGCTTTGAGTTCTAATTTATCTCACGCTATCTTCTCCTGACGAGTCCATACCAGAACGAAGACGTATTCGTTGTGTGCCTGTGTTGGTAGGAGCAACATCGAGATATTTCTACTACGGATACGGTGTTCGTGATCGGAATGACAGAGGTTTACCTTAAAGTGGACCGAGGTCTCAATAATTGTTGTAAATCGCAAAAAATCACACAAAGTGTTCGCTAAATTCAACTTTGCCTTGCTTTCCGCTGTGCCAAGCGTTGCTCGCGCATCTCAGTAGCATAATATTCAGGGCGTCAGCCGTGAACCACTAGGCGGTGAGTTGCAACACAGTTCAGGCTCTTTCCACCTCATGTGTCCAAACAAGAACGAAACCGCGGTCTTGGTGTGCCAACGTTTCGCAGGAGCAGTACCAAAATATTTTTATTTCGGCTACGGTCCTCGCGATCCGAGTGAACGAGGATTAGTTCAAAGTGAACAGATGACTCAATAGAAGTTGCTAGTCCCAAACCTAACGCACAGGGCGTTTGCTATATTCATCCTTGAATTGCTTTCCGCTGTGCCAAGCGCGGATCGAGGATCTCAGTAGCATAGTGTTTAAGGCGTCAGTCGTGAACAACTGGGCTCTAAGTTCTAACCTATAGCAGAATATGTTTACCAGATAATTCCAAAGCAGGACGGATAGGAGGTCGTGGTGTGCCAATGTTGGGAAGGGGGGGGACAACACGCAACTATTTCCATTTCGGATACGGTCCTCGCAATCGGAATGACCAATGCTTACATCAAAGTGAACCATGGATTTAATAGAGGTGGCGGGTCACAATACTTCTACACAGCGCGTTTGCTAAATTCAACTTTGAATTGCTTACCGCTGTGCCAAGCGTTGCTCGCGTATTTCAGTAGCATAGTGTTCAGGGCCTCAGCCTTGAACTACCAGGGTCTAAATTCTTCCCCCGCTCAGGCTATCTACACCTGATGAGTCCAAACCAGGTCGAAACCGCGGTCGTGGTGTGTCAGTGCTCGGAGGAGTAGTACCCAAATATCTCCATTCCGGCTACGGTCCTCGCGATCGGAATGACCGAGGTTTAGCTCAAACTGAACCAAGGTCTCAATAGAGGTTACGAGTCGCAAAGCAAGCACACAGTGTTCGCTAAATTCCGCTAGGTACAGGGTAAATTTATCTGAATACATCATGCGAATTAAATTGGTGATCAGTGTCAACTACGTGCGACAAAAGCTGATTTCTGTACATTCTTTCTCGCACCGCTGTAAAGCCAATTCAGGCAATTTGCTAGAGTTCTAACGGACAGTGGCTTGGTCAACTTCCCAATACACCTTACTAAATATGAGCAGGAGAGGGTGACCATAGTGGGAAATCCCTGACTGGGGTATCCTGTGGTTGAGTTTGTGGCGAGGCTCACGGGCAGATCGGCAATCGTATCCGTTCTCGCTGTTGCCATGAGAAGCCTTTGGTTCGTCCGTTTCGCCATCTCGTCACCGTTGGACGCCAACGATAAGTATACTAAGCGCTTCTCCGCGGAAATCGGTTTCAGTTTTGGCACTCGCGGTTCCATGTGCTGCCAGTTGAAAGTGTACGACACCCATATGCGGGGTCTAATGTCACTAAACATCTCACACTAACAACATACAGTCACACTTTCGCAAGCGGTTCCGAACAATCTTTTGCGAGTTAGTTCATCAGTGTTTCAGTAATATGCCAGGACAGTTTTCCAATCTCGGCGAATCTATGTAATGCCCACGCTTTGGGCCATGCACGAAATTGCCGAGAATATATATTCATAGACCGCGATCCCCATTAAAGTGAATCATGGTCACCATGATCGTAACTGATGAAGTTGTGTTTTCGGGCGAGCAACACCCCGTAGTTAAGCTACTTTGCCAGGCACCGTAAAATGACTGTAAAAAAGAGGAAGCATTGTTAAAAGTTTTATAAAGCAGTAAATGTATAAAGGATTTCACAGTCTACCAGTGCTATGGATGATATTTGGTAAGTTATAGAAGGTCGAGTGGATCTGATCTTAGATGACCACTGCGTAGCATCCAATAATAGTGTGCTGCCATATCCCAACATCCTGCTAAAGGATTCTGTGCACTTCCTTTTCATCAAAGCAGAAAGAACACATGGGTTGCGATATGTCAACATTTCCATTGTTCTCCTCAGTCGCATGTACAATACAAGCAGAAACAAATTATTATATATATATATAGGGAAAAATTTGCACACCAATCAGAACGTCAAACTAAAGACCAAGACAATCTAATTAACTACCTGAAGAGTATATGTGAATAAAGAACAGATTGATAGGTCTTAGCTAGCAACACTTCACTAATTGCCAGCAGCATCGGGTTCCGGTTTCGGAATAGCAATTTGAATGCAGTCTTCGGATCCGCATTGTGACCACTTGTCACGAGGTCCTTAGTGATAGATGATGAGGGATCCAGTGCATTCTGGGGGTATTCCGATTTGGTGCGTCATCACTTGTTCCACCCACTTTGGCAAGTGTCCAGCCACCCTCTGAAACAACTGGCGGATAGTTGTGCCTATGTATACGTCACCGAAACTACATGTGATCTGATAAACCACATAAGAAACCGAACTAGCCGAAGAGTAGCTCTGACGGTCATGAAGAACAAGTTTCCCCGTAGTGAGCATGAAGCGCAATTTGGTAATCAAGTAGGTGCATGTTAGGGCGGACTTGAGCATGTGCCTGATCTTAATTTCCAAATCGTCTCCAGTGAAGGGCAGAAACAGATCAACTGTTTTTTACTTTGCCGCTAGCACTGGCAGATTCTTTTGGGAGAGTCTGCCGCGCACATGGATGAAGTTTTAGGATCACCATACGACATAAAGGTCTTATGTAGAAACTTCTCTTCAGCTTCCAGCGTTTCCGAACTACAAATTCGTCTGGCCCTGCAGAAGATCGTTTGCTTTAGGCCGCGTTTGTATTCAACCGGGGCGTTACTGAAAAAGTGATGGTATTGCCCACTCCGTGTTGCTTGCGGTTAACGGTGCGCTGCAGTGGACCTCCGTCCCGTCTCTTAATGAGAATACACAAAATTGACAGGCAGCCGTGTTGCCCTATCTCGTGGGAGACTGAAATCTTGGGTGAATTGAATTCAGGGTGGTTAACAGGCGGGTAAAATGATCGCTATTTGTTAACACCAGAATGTAATCCACATACCTTTTGTACAAACTTACTTCACCAATACTGGCAACAACTTCCGTTTCGTTCAAACCTGGAAAGATATTTGCCAAAACCGGTCCCAGGGGGCTGCTGATGTAGATATATGTGATCATGTTTCTGCTGGTTTATGTACGAGACTGAGGTGAACAATCGGAATGTTGACATATTACAAGCTACTTGGTCTCCCTCTTTTGATGAAGTGGCTGAAGGGAACCCAATGTTTTACGCAATTCAGCTTTTTGTGTTCATCAAAGACCAATGGATCATTCTACTAAAGTGATATAACCGATGCTGTTCACTTGTCTTGAGCATAATTTTGACAATCGATGTAGCCTATCCTATTAGGGTAACCTGAAATCTCCTCATTGCTCTAAATGTTTTTTTCTACATTGTTATCCATCCCATACACGACCAGATCAATAGGGAAGCTGCTCCAATGCAATAGATTGCCTTTATGCAAAAAGCTGTCAGTAAGAGGACGACAGTAGTGTCAGTATTGACACTGACTTCAAATTGGATATTGAGTTTAGAGGAAGAAATCGCATAAACCTTTTTGCTTCATACTGCAGGGTAACAGAGGTTCAAATCGAAAGCTTTAGTTTCTTCGGGAGGGACACTGATCTTTGGTCAACTAAATCAGATGTATGCGAATAAGGCATGATTGCATTTTTAAATAGCTTAATGTTCTTCAAATCACGTTATCATTAGAAACGTTTTCCGACGTCTTCATTCCTTACTACGCATTGACAGCTTAAGTGCTCCTGAAAACACCCACCCAGCTGTAATTTGTACTTGTAAAAGCGGTGTGGACACAGTTGGCAGCTGAACAAACCAAGTTTGCGGGCCATCTCGACTAGGGAAACAGCCGTACAAGTCAGAAGAATTGTTTAAGTTCTTAGGTACACTTTTTGCTTTGCGTTACTGGCTGCTGGATACATTGCTATATACATAAGAATGAGGGAATAATTGATACAATTCAGTGTCATCTGGGAAATTTCACATGAAAACACTTGGGGGAAGTGAAAAAATATCCCCGACATCAAACTCCAGTTGGGGTTTCGGATCAATAGCTGTTGATGGAAGAGGCGTATTGTGGGTGAGTGAGGAGGGAGGGCTGAAGGGAAATCTATGTTGCGGATTCTCACAGCATTAGGCCCGAAATCATTCGTGACAATATACAAAAGGGTCTCCTATGATGAACAAATACCTGGCTGTCTGCAAAGATGAGCTGAAGCATTTGGACGTAATTATCAAGTTGTGTAAGAAATGTCATGAGCAAAGAAGAAATAATCTCTGAATGTTGTTAATAACAACTAAATAATGATTTGAAATTTTACCACAGTACTAAATATTAATGTGCATCATGATGAATATAAAAATGGCGAAGAAAGCGAGGTGATCTACTTTGAGTCCACCTGGACAATAGAATAGATCAAAACTCTAGGAGCTAGCAATAACCACTCGGAGGAACCAGGTCGGCAGGTTTGGTAGACTCTTCGTAGAATGTGACGCCTTGGAGTAAGTACCGTCTTTGGTACAATGTGAAGTTGGACGTTGTAAAGGCAGCTTCTGTTGAAATACTCGTAGTTTTTCTTGGTAACGTGGAGTCACTCCGACAGGCATAGAGGAAGGGGTATTTGTCAGTAGTGCGTCCATAAAAGACTGATGCAGAGGTAGAAAACGGGTGCACACTTCGGAGAAAATGGAAAAGAAATTTGTTTGGTTAATTAATGTGGGTAAACCACATGATGTAGCTGAGGCACTACATGACCTTTTCAAATTACAAAATAAGTTGGTACGGTCATTGTAAGCTTCTGGGTAACGTCCGACTAAATTATCGGTATGTTAACACAGCCAAATATAATTCTGCCTCGTGCATATGTCATAGACCGAAGCAGGCATGAGCTCAAGTTTCTACAGCCAGTATAGCAAGCATATGTACTTGATGATAGAATGAAAGGGCCAGAATGATTACAAATTTTAGTATGGGGAAAGAAAATATGTACTGAGTAATCCATCTTGGAGCAGCCAATTCACAACTTGTGGTTATTTCGGAAATTTGTTAGGTTTATGTGCTATCAACCGCGTGGATCAATAGCACATTTATTTTCTATCGCAGTTTTAAAATTAAACAGTAGATGAAATCTAATGTCCTGTCACCTTTAGACACTTGAAGCACAGAGTACCTACCGTGTGGTTGGATTGCAACTTGCAGTTTTATTAGAACCTCGGTTTGCTTTGAAGCGGACGTCTGTCATTCCCATCACTACAACCGCATCCAAAGTGGAAGGGTTTCTGTGTTGCTCTTCCCAGCAGGGACATATCATGACCGGTTCCGTCCTCGGTCGGACTCATAAAGTGGAGATCGCGTGAGCTGGAACTTAGGGCCTAGTGCTGAACGGCTGCCACCTTGATCACTAAGCCACTGAGAACCGTGATTTGTCTGTCGCGATCCAACCAAACGGTAGGTTCTCCAAATCCCAATCCTGCCATTCTAAGCGTTGTCCAAATCGTTGTTCACCGATCTCAGTGGCCTAGCGCTCAAGACAATAGTCTTGTACCGTAAGACCCATAGTACTAATACTAGCTCAGGCTAACTCTGCCTAAGCTGTCTAGAAGAGGAAGGACCGGTCCTGTGGTGCAACCTTAGAAGCAGGTATTCAGAATCCTCGTTAGGGAGGGATCGTATTAACTTCCAAAACTATCCCCAAATAGGTACCCAGAATGTTTACTGCAGCCCAGCTCCAAATGGACTAAATAACGGTTTGGTGCTGTCACGGAAGTTGCTGCGACTGTTTTTTGCTGTTATGGATATGATGAATCTCTCCACTTTGGATATGAATCACAACTCGCATGATCAGCAACTAGTGTCCAGTAAAAATGGCTACGGGACTGAAGCTACACGATGAAACCGAAAAATGACGGCACAAGTTGCGTGTATGTATAGTGAAAGGTTCTTACCATAAACTTCCGATGCTGAGTACAGTTCCAGCGAGAGACTCTGTGGGTTGTTTCAGTACAAATCACCAATGGTTTCAACTGAGTTCGCTTATCATTGTCTCAATACAGATACGTTAATCCAACCTGGAGTTATCAACTATCCTATTGTCGCCTATACTACGGTCACGGGCACCGCTCACAGGCTAGAGCGATTAGCTCTCAACCGATTATCAGCTTGATCATAATTTATTGCGAAAGTGAACTGACTACTCGTTAGTTCGGCGGAGTTGTACGCCACCGGTCGCGTCCCCTGGTTGTGCTGAGGGCAGTCTTTGTCTTGGGTTGTAAGATTTAGCTCGTTCGTTCAAAGGAAGTTCAGAGGCTCTCTGCGTTTGACCACCGTTGTCTTCGCAGCATTACTGTTGCAAAGTGGCAAATTCGCTTTAGTAGCCGAGATGTTGGCCGCAGGGTTATCAGATCAGACAGACTTTGCTTGCCGCTGAACCGCACAATTTCACTGCAAGGTCTTCGGTGGCTTCGGCACCTTTTTCGCATGCCTACTGAGTGTTTGCTACACTGTGCATTCTGCGCACACGAAGTCACTGGAAGCGGAGGTAAGGTGGCCGGTGAATGACCTGGGCCAAAGTATAAGAGCGCGGTCGGGAACTGTCGACTCCCTGGTTGAGAGCGCAAAGACCACGGGCATGCATGGCTGGAAACCTTATAGGACATGTCTATTAACCGTGAGGAATGGCGAACCTCTTGTGAGACTACCTTTATACCTACAGTTCCACACTTCTTGTTAACTTTCCTATTGTTTCCTTATTGTCGTATTTTTGATCAATTGTTGTAGAACTGCATATATATATTTTTATGTACACAGTTTCAACGATGACGAAACAGGTCGCATCAAACAAAGCAAACTTGAGCAGAGCCAAGAATGTACACGACCCCTCATGTAAACTTATCACATAACTCTAGATTTAGTCCCTTTCGCAAGCCGGTTTCATAACAATCGAAAACAGCAAAATGGAATCGTACTTCGATTTTCCATGTCACACCTTAACTTACATCATGATGGTTTGCTTAACAATGTCTTTAAGACAGTACCGTTGCCTGGCAAGGGTGCTGGCGCGGAAGCTGTAACGACCAGATGTTGTGGAGCTTTTGAATTTCCCCGGGCAGTGACTTCAACTTGAATAGGTTCCGTTTTACCGCTACGAGTGGAGCTTGTCATATCAGGTTCGTCGTCTACATCCGCCAGGAGCTGGGAATGAACTTCGGCGGCGATTAGTACAGAATGGTTGGATGGCGGTCGTTCATGTGGGCTATTGGCCACCTCTCCTCGGACAAACTGTGCGGAGTGATCGCTCACCGCGTCCATCGCCAGGCCCATTGGTTGACATGGCTGATTTGTTGCACTGGTCATCACAGTGCTAATGGAGGAAGCCTCGGTCCACAACTCGGAGTTTGAGGCCAGCTAGTTGGATAGGGGAGAACAAAAGATAAAGTGCAACCAGCAGGACATTCAACTTGCTGCCATAGCCACAAGGCTGCGAGACGCTTGAATACCAGAATCCTTACCGTGTGACCAGAAGCTGATCTGCGGTGACGCATTTGTCGTGCCACCAACAGTCTGACAACAGGCAAGGATTTCGGTAGTTCGGTGTTACAGCTCGCACTTGTAATATCACTGTCTGAAGTGACAGGTGGGTCCTTCTTGTTCGGAGATGTGGTCCGACGGAGCACTGAACGCAAGAGAGCCAGTGGATTGGATTTGTTGATAAGTGATACACCATTTACCTCCAGCAACTCATCACCCACCCGTAGACGTCCGTCCTGTCACGAATGGACAAACAAACAGAGGAATGCAATCAGACACTAGGTAACAAGCACCAATACAATGCATGTATACAGTACCAGCAGACGCGTGACGTGATGCACCTGTCATGCAATCAGCTCTGGTGCTACCGACTATTAGGGCGGATTGTCCAACAGCTGACCCACATATCAGTTGTTCGTGCACACAAATTGCGCATGTTAGCAAACACACAATCCTCATACTAAACATTCGTCAACCGATGAATGATCTCACCGGCTGTAGCATTGATCCAACTCAGTGCATATTGTGTCCCAGCAGTCAGTACTGCGGTCATTAACAATGGTCGATGCGATACGGTGAATAATCTCTCCCAAACTTGAAAGTATAGAGCACTGATCAATCGACAAACAAGTTACATTAAATAAATGATTTTGTGCAAAAAAACATAACTATCTGAGGACAGGAGCCGATTAGCTACATCGAAAAGGAATACGCAGTGTGTCTCTGAATTACAGTTCACGTATTACTATAGTGCATTGTGAGATGTGTGGATACAGCTTTAAACGTTATAAAGAAGAGAGCTTTATCTAAAAAGGAGAATTCAACTCAGTGCAAAAGAGTACCTTAATTGGTTCGATGGAGCTGTATCATCAAGTTGAACTAACGGCTTTTAACCATGTATGCAACAGAAATGGATGAGTTGTTTCGGTGCTGCTCTCCCACATCACCACAATCCACGACGCATTTCATTCTTGTTTATACTCATCATGAAGATATAGCATGATTTGGGTTTGAAACTCGGCACATATTAGTCAAAAGCTATCGTCAAGTTCAGTAGGTCATTAAGCTCATCTAGCAGTGCTTGAAACAATGGTTAGAAGTTGATTATCGGGTACTGGAGCGCTGCACTGCTTTACAATTTTAGGCGGGAACTATTCAGACTAGTGATTCGGTGCAAACTCAAACTAGAATCGTTAGGCAGTAGGACACGTCTGAATACCAGTGTGTGAGAATTTATGATAGCCCCTTTTTAAAGAAAGCTTACTTCAAAAATAGCTAATCATCAGACATGTTGAAAAGTCACTAAGTCAAAAGTGGGTTTACGTCGCCTCTTCACTAACGTGTTTGCAGAATTCATATGAAAAACAGATGGATAGACTTGGGGATAATTTGGTGAAATAGCGTGAACATTTGTCATTTATTTTTTATGGTTGACATGGTATAATTTGGTCCCCCTTTTTCATTTGCTCGGTGTCACAGAATCCTCTCCTTCAGAGACCAACAGTTTACTCTACAAAGTGCAACTAACCTGTAGAAGCCATCGTTATAAAGCTGGATCTTACCGTGGTGCGATGGTTTGCTTGCCTCCGAGATCCGTTGAGCTATACAGCGTGATGTTTTTTGCACCTTCAGAGCCACTCATACTAGATTGGTCAATGGTTAGAGGCCAGACAAACTCAGCCTCCTGCTCCTCTGGGTTGTGGGTTGGAATGAGGGTGGCTCCTTAGCCCTTAAAACGGACTTCTTGTAGCCCAACGCTAAATAGCACTACCATGCGAACAGGTTTTTGGGGCAAAAGTTTTGGTTGGGAACCCTAATCATTTTCCTGTCTACGCCTGGGCAACCTGACAGCATCCTACCCCGCAATACAAAGAATTTTTCTTCAAACGGTTTCTTGATGCTCTGGCCGTCGCACAGGATAAGAAACGGCACCCTATTTACCACTTTGAGCAGGGTGGATAGGGGTATGGATGCTACTGCTCAAGCCTTCCCATCTTCTTATTCCCCTCTTACGCCTTTTCAATCTTACCGTCCTTCTCCAGCTTCACTTTTATCCCCCTGTTTTTAACTCCCTAATTCTTGGCCCTCCCTCACCAAGCTTTGCTAGGCTTGTACCTTCTAGTTTCAACTCACATGCAAATGCGGAGCGTCCTTCCTGCCCTGTCAGCAAACCCATGTACAACCAAGCGGTCCACCACAGTTCATCGGCTTCCATTTGCCATGCCTCATGCTACGCACAATGCTGCAGATCGGTCAACAGGCAGCCCTTGCCCGAACATTAGACACGCTCGCCGTCGATAGCTGCTGCTTATCGGAGACCCACCTGCAAGACTCGAGCTCTGTGCTCACCCTGAGATCCGCTTCAAATAACATCATCAGTATTTTCTCATTGCGCCTATCCGGTGATGATACAGTTTAGAGCACCGGCGAAGCTGGTGTTGACACTGACCTAAATCCATGGGCTGAAGCTGCTCTGGTTGATTGGATCCCACACGGTAGCCGGATATGTGCGGTCCGATTGGATGGCTCGTTCAAAACTTCGAAGACGCACGGGACTAATAGGTGTCTATTCATCATCGCTCCCTATGCACCCACAAAGTCTAGCAATGATTCGGTAATAGATGAATTCTATCGCCAACTGACAGAGTTCCTTCCCCACAGAAGAAGCATGGGCACTGTTGTGTTGGCGGGGGATCTGAACTAGTTGGAAAGTTGTCCACTGCTGAACTGCATATTGGCAGCCAAGACGGTGTAGGCTCCCGTAATGATAACGATGAGCGGTTACTTCATTAGTGTGAAGGTGCTCGCTTATTTCTTGCGAGCAGTAATTTCCGACCCAGCACTCGCCGGAGGGTGACTTGTCGCCCACTAGCCTCCATTCAGACTTGTACGCGAATAGATCACATTGGATCTAGTTACCGATGGAAAGGCTGCGTCCAGTACTGTCGCTCGATTTGGAGCACATGTTTGGACGCCGACTATGCACTTGTATGTGCTGATATGCGGATGCTTTTTGGCGGACACCCACGATGACGCTCTGAGCGCACTGACACCAGTTAACTGACAAGGTCAGCTGTCCTGAATGCCTATCAAAATATGCTGACATGCGGGTTGAGTAAGCGCTGATTGGAGACAATTGAAGGTCACTGGTCACAAGTAGCCTAGTAGCTGGCAGGTAGCTTTCCCGAACGATGTCCATTTATTCTGGTAGCCCAGCTGGCATGAAACTGTTGCATTTGTTTTCTTTTTTCGTTTATGTATGGCGGCACAGTAGCTAAGGTGTTTTATTCCTCTAGCTAACGTGTAAAATGATGACTGATAATGAACCCGTAGTAGCCTCGACGTAAATAACGCTCGTTTGCATAAAAAAAACTACGCCTCTGCACTCATGAGATTCTTCCTTTGCTTCAAGCAAACGAACTCCCTCTAGCGCAGCAAAATATTAACTAAACTGTTTAGAGGCGGGGATGCATAGTCGTTCATACATATGCCACGTTAGCTTGCAGTAATCTGGTAGCTTCCTTCGTCGTGTAAATTTGTCTTGGTCATCTGGTTGCATAAATCCGGAACAGTTACTTACTTCGTGGTGCCTGTCAGCAGCCAGAAAAGTGGCAGAGTTGGGTGACGTGGAATTTTTGTCCCGGGAGGCAAAAGCAAGGGTTATGGGCCAGTCTAATGGTTATATAATTCACCACACCCGCAGACCCCCTAAACAACTTTGGTAATCTCTGTGCTATCCTAGTGTGTGGAGGAAAATTGGCCCTTTGCTGGTTAAAGAATTGTGACATCATATCAAGCGACTGCATAATACTCAGCACTACCCATTATATTAGGTGGAGCAAAGACATGCTCCCGCACGCTCAGCAGTTCGAGATGGCAGCAAATACTCCCAAGATGCCGATAATAACCCGTATCTATCAACTGATCTGCCAACATAATAACTGATCTGCCGAACAAATGGTGCCCGAAACTTTGTCCCATTAGGCGTCCAATTGTCTGGCTGACACTGACAAAACTAAACAACGATTCGGATCACTGCTTTTGCTTGTTGCTTAACAACCCACTGGAATGTCGCACAGTGGTTAATCACTTCTACTGCGAATATACTTCAAAGTAAACAGCTCTATAGTACAGCTTAAGTTCATCATAAAATGGAACTTTCAGGCCGCAACCAGACACCTGGGAAAGTACTGCAGGAAAGTGTCCTCAGTTTCGCTTCTGTCGGTGTTGCCCTTTCTTCAGTACTGTTGAGCGATTATGTCCCCTTAGAGGAACACCCGCCATGAGGTGATAAAAGAGCAACAAGGGATAAAATGAGAGAAATCATGTCCGAATCCATGAGAGTTTCAGCCGTTAGTGTTAACCGTGGGTGCGTGGCTTCGACAATAACAAATCAGCAGTGCATTCCTGATATCCACCCCTATGTGAATGCGAAGACATATTAGTTAAGCTTACAAAGGGATTAACAGCCAATCATGACTCTTTAATTTGTTTTCCTGTTTGTGATAGAATACAAGTGAAACAGCTGACTCCCCCAGGGTGCGACAGCTCCCGGTTTTGACATCAGACAGTTTGGAGCTCGTCCTCATTATAATAAAAACCAGTGGACAAGGGAAAACCCCAGCAGAAAAGTAATCACAAATGAGCAGAGGCTACACGGTCTAGATAAGCAGCCATTCAGTTCCAGCAGTGCTCAATCTTCTCCTCCTGCTGGACCCGTTTAGACTGGTCAGAGGTAGCTAAATTCCCTGGTCTTTGTTCATTCAAGTCCGCTGTCCAAGTTCACTGGTGTGCTTAAATTATGACACCGTGTTAACTCCATTTGATTGATAGACTCGTCGACGTGGATTCTGACGCAGGGAAAGTCCAGCATGTCATCCACCTTACTAAGACAGTGCTGAGAAGAATCAGCGTTTTTGTTTAGGTTTTGCCTAGGGAACAAGTATGTAAGCAAATCTGTCTTGCTGGAGTAGATCGAGAATTGTGAGCGTAAATATTAGCTAGGATATGGACCCGGTCGATTTGTAACATGTCACGGCTGTGCTGAAACTGCTAATCGGTGAAGGAGAAAGATATTCGCTAGGGTAGCCAACAATAGACTTGATTCGATCGTATCGTCGTGCATGTTCCAATGCATGATAGTTATGTTAACTCTATTAAAATCAGAAAGGGTCAGCGAAACGTGACGGACCGCAAGTTCGACAGGTGCGTACAGAAAGAAGTCACGGCTGATGTAAATCTTTGCCTTTGTGACAGACGCCAGGAACTAAGCGACAACAGTTATCTGTGAAGTGCATGAGATTTTACAAGTAGAAAAAGCGAAAGGATTCTTAGTCCCACCCTGACAAATCGAATAGGAAAATGGCTGCAGAACCCAACAACCACATGGGGACAGACCCACCGATACAGTAGTCAGTTTATATTATGGGGTCCATCTTTGGGTTTATACAGAATGCTAGGAAGTCTGGACCTCCGAACCAGTTCCCAAGTAGACGGGTTTGGCAAGCAGTTACAAAATATAGGCCCATGGTCATGCACCTGTTACTCAGTCTGCCCAATCTCATATTCCCCCCAGGGGCTTTCAGTCTGTATTTACTCCGGTGCAAACGCGGGTACGCATAGGACACCAACAAATTCACCATTTTATGCGTTACTAACATCTGCAATCAAATAATATCGTCACAATTGTGACTTAAAGCATCAAAATTGTTCCATGCGGTAATGATGCGCAAGTATCCAGTCTATTGTCCTAAAAAAGCTACAAATTTTGCATAGCCTAAATCTTTTGGGAGGTAGACTGAAGACTCACTATTAGACAGCTAAACGGATACTTTGCTTACATAATTAAACGCGTGGAAATTGAGACCCATAAGATATGGGAGATAAAAAACTATGGCATTATAAGTTGCATTCTACAAGCGCACTATGTTTTTAACCAAAAATAGATGTTGCATGCTCAAAACTATACCCTCGAAGTGCTGACGTTGGAATGGCCAATTTTGTTTAGCTGGATGGGTTATGCCTATCCGATTTAAGGAAAATATAAGGCCTCTGTCTATTCCCATTCTGATTATTTATGAAATCGTAATTGGTAAACAGAAAGAGAGTAGATGGTGACAGTGACTTGTAGATACTGACCATTTGCACAAACTCCCTCCAGCAGATACTTCCAGCAGAAGGGACCCTGCTAATTTTACTTTTGCAGTAAATTTTCACCAAGTATTCAAGGTTTGAAGAGGGTTAGCTGTATACTCATTTCATGTTTAAATTGATGTTCTCATAAACAAGCTGGACACTAAAGAAACATGGCACCAGACTAGCAAAGGGGCAGTACAATAGGCTAACCACAATGTAAAGTATTCAGCTGAGAATGAAACTCGCTAGAGATTGTTTTTGGCAGTTTACCGATTAAGGAGCAAAGCTATGTACAAGTCGCATGAATTTCCACTGCGCAACGCCCAAATCTATGCTTCCATTTGGTTGCCAGTTTAATTATTATTTACATAAGAACAATACCGACAAGAAAGATCTCGCGACGTTTCAGGTTTCATGGCGAACAACCATCAAGCACGCCAAAGAATCATTCCACCTTTCATGTCAACAAAGGCTAAGGAATGTAAGATTGTAAAGCGGTCAATATTGGTGCCTACATTGATACCTAATAAGAACTTATTAAATTCAGAGAAGCCACAACCAAGTCTACCGTCCCCTATTGCAACGCTGTCATGCCAAACTTGTACTCTCTTCGTATCTGAAGGGGCCATGAAACGCCCTTTTAAATTGTCCTGTGTCCTATCTTAGTTTAACTGTGTTTAGCAAAACGTCTTGGCGTTTCTCTAAGCCACCCACCTTGCGCGATACAGCCTTGTGCCTAGACAAACGATATGAACTGATTAAATTTTCACCATCACCATTAATATAGATAGTCTAGGTTGGCTCCTGTAGGCATGCCTCTGTGTAAAAAATACGGTTACTTCATCAAAACCCGTTTCATTTTATCACTTTATTTTCTTTCCATCATTTTGTGTTTCTTTTGCTGACCGTCCTGCGAGACCTGTTATGCTTTCACCATTTTACCCGTAATGCGCCCATTGTTCTATTTAACTGTGCCGGAACTGGCGCACCTCATAAAACCGTGTATATACATCCGTATTTTTAGTATTTCATCGCACGGTAATATCGATGCTAGTAATTATTCAATGTCAACCGATGCTCCCATAGTAAGCTTCACTTGCAAATCTATAACTCGTGATGTGGATGGCATCCACGCGAGATAACTTCCTTCAAATCTACTGTGTGCCTACGTGCTATGTACCTAACATTTGAGGTTGCACACTTGTTTAGTAGGCTTGATCATGTACGACAAACTGTTTGACACCCCAGGTAACAAGCTAAAATTTTCGCCTGCACCCATACAGGGTGGTAAATGTTTACTATTTTCAGTAACCCTTGCAATGCTAGCCACAAGCGGGAAATTTAATACCTACCATTCAAATGGCGCCCATGGTTCCTAAGGAACAACATGTGAATCGGCTATTGGAACTGAGTCCTGCAGGATGAACTTATCCGAAACCAGGGACAAGTGTCCAGCCTGAAGCGGCCGGTACCTCTGCCTTGTTTGCCGAGATACAGTAGCGTGTTAAAATGACCCGACCAGGATGAGGCTCCAGTATTATCAAATAAATTGTAAAATTTCTTCTTAGTTCAACGTTGCCTAACCAGTACAATTGGTTAACTGCTTAAATCTACAGAGCATTTCAAGAGGTCTAGGCAAAAGTCGTGTTGTCTAATTTATGAATCGAAAACACGTATCCCTTGCGCATAGCGGCTTTTGATAGTGGACCATGGTTCTGCATTAATCTTGAAGGTTATTTGCTCTACACGTATAGGAATATACGGTAACGTCCGCCCAAAAGTAGCCGTTAGATTCGACAAGTTTTCATGGAAATTATTACGCGAGATTCCCTTAGAGAATAGTCTAAGTGGACGACTTCAAGGAAAGAACAGAACGCAAGTGCAACAGAACACATATCCCATGGATCAACGATAATCATCTAGACTGCCTCATCAAAATTCTTCATTCACGGAGATCGAAGCAACTCACAATTGCACCTGAACGAGTTTGCCCCGGTTAACGGTCTGATTCACTGAGTTGGCCAGTGTTTTATTGCATCATAAGTCAGCACCTATGCGAAAGCTGGGTTGGTTACACCGTCTTGTCCCATTTAGATTTAACGGTACAATATAACTTGCATAACCTTGCTTTTTTCATCTATTCATTGGTGGATTCTGATCTAGTGACCGACGATGCGCAGGCAATGAGCTGTCAGACCAGAACAGTGTAGCTGGCACCTGTCCAACACTTAGGCGGTACACATAATTACATTTTGGAGTCAGGGAGGAATACATTCACTGATGGAAATCTGAAGCATCTCATAAATTGGAGGTAGACGTGTCTTTTGAGCAAATATATACGTAGGTTTACGCTTCCGGTTAGTCACGTGTGAGTAGTCACTTATTGTCACACCCTGTCAAATTGCTATCCATTCAAGGCTTCGCAGCTGAAGCACGAACTTTTTGCGTGTACAACCGTACAATAAAACTGGTGGTGAATCGGCGTGACTACTAACGACTTCAGAAAATTATTGGTGGTCAGTCGAGTACGGTAATGTCTAAACCTGGGGTTCTTTCAGTTTCACTGAATGTAGTATGCCCCAAATTGCCTGTTTCCCGATCTAATTCCCACATGAATCAGGTAGAAAATGGGGGCCCGCAGACTAGAACTGAAAGTAAATTACAGCTAGCTACAATGTTATTTGATCAAGTTTCATCGATCTAAATGCTGGAGACCGACGGAATCTTCGCTGAAGTCAGTTATTTGGTCTCTACAGTGACATAGCACAAATAGCGTCAAGTTAAAGCGCTCGCTTGGCTGCATTCTAAAATAAACATATGCACTTATTTTAATACGATATGATGAATGCAGTGTTTAGTATGTTGGCAGTTTTCAAGACAATGCAAGGCTGTGACAATATACAGTGGCGTTCCTACGGTTCGCGCATTTTGCTTTGTATTCCCAAATTTTTGATTTCATCTTCACCTACCAGTTAAATCTTAAGAAGGTTAAAAAATATAAGCATTCTTTATTGGCAATCTAATGGCTGCCCACTGTGTGTGAAGTAACACCGTAAGCTTTAACCGGTTACTTATCCGGAACCGTTAGGTAAATTGGAACCCCCCTACTACTTAAAAATAAATTGGAATTCCGTTCTATTTCAAGAGAATAGTAGCCACTAACATACAGTTAAATCATTCGGCTAGACCTGAATTCTGATGTGACCAACCTTATGGGCCGCGCCACCTTCAATGACTCCTTTGACTAACACGCCTCCATATATGGAATCCGCCACGGACCAGTATTCGTCGATTCGACCAATATGCATAGAGTTGATTTTGTCCCAATTTGCATCGAAGCCCCTCTCAGCAATCTTGGATGCCCTGGAAGAGCACGTTTCTCGGACGCTAACTCCCAGTCGCATGCGTCGCGAAATCTTACCAGTTGTTGAAGTAGAACTGCTTGTCCCTTCTCCCGCCTGTTTTCCTTCTAACCGGAGGCGTCTATCTTCTTTGATGATAGTGCTTGTTGACAGTGATATGTCCAACTGCAGGATAAACACATCTGGATACGGCTGTGTTTAAAAGTAAAGCAAAATCAAATTTAAGCAAATCAGTCCCAGAAAAATCAATTTTACTCTCGGTAATTTATTAATCAGTTTCTGCACTGTGATGCAATTTTAAGATTCCGTTGTGTATTCTTAGCTCAAAAGGAGGCGGAGCACGTGTTGACAAATAAAAACACTGTGTTTCGGCTAATAAACAGGTCCCTCAGGAAATGGTATACGTTCTATGAATATTGTATATGAAACAAAATAATTGTCCTGCCAAGTGATGGTTGGAAATCTATTGTCTTGTGACGCTCACATAAAGAATGAGAGGATCCCATCATCCAGAGGAACTGTGACTACTTGGAATATGCCTTTGTAATGGATACACAAATAACCTACTGCTAAAGCTGTTATAATTCTGAAAACAACAAGACATTGTTGAAAAGCCTGCTGCTTTTCAGCGGTAGAAAACATTGGGATGTTTGAGAGCATTCGTGCCATTGTAATGACTCGATACTGACGAGTACAGGGGTTGATGACTTCACTAGCGCACAGAGAGTGTGAAACTGCGACCACCGTCACCGGCTGAACATTAGTTGTGACGACGTTTATTTGGATGTACACTGTCTATTGAATACTGGATACATAAACTAACATATTTATATATGTGCTACTCCATTCTAATGTCACTCAGAGCACACGAGGATTAATCTTTCATTGCCTTGCATATTCGGCATATAGGCGTTACGCCAAGTCCATTCAAGTGATAGGTGCTGTCTAGATTTAAAATCCGCAAATAAGGCGTACAGGAATGTATTGTATTCTGACACCCAATGGAACCTCAACTATTGGCTGTGGCTTTTATTTGTCACGTAACGCGACTGATCAGAAACGACTCAATCAAGAACTGGTGAGTAAATTGCCCCACAGCTTTTGTCCTTCAGCTTTGTTTATAGCTGCTGTTTAATCATCTGGTGAAGTTTCATTGCTTTATTTATCACTATGCAGGGCGTACGTTACAGCTGAATATTCACTCTTCGTTGTTGTGCATAGCTTACTCTACACTTGCCTTGATCATGCAGATCGCAAGGAAAGCTGCAAAATCCAATAACTCAGGCGACCTACACTGCAGAGCTTTTGCCGATTTGTCAATATATGATAAAGTCTTTTCTTTTGACTTATGTATGGTCGCTGAAGTGTTTTTCCACAGCAATACAACTTTCGACAACGAAACTCGTAGAACTCTATGAAAATGTGGTACCGTGACGTAGACACATGAACCCCCGAAATTTAACCCGGCTGGCAGCCTTGGCTAAAACAACCGAATGCGCCCATAGATCTACTCATACTTCTTAGAGGCTTCTGTTTGAAAAAGTTGCAGTATTTCCCATTTCAGCATACAAATGACGTCAAAATATATTTGCGAATGACTATTGCAGAATAGAGCCTTGCTTAAAGAGTAGGTGGTTATGGTGTTACTTATGCTGGACACGAACTGTGGGATCGACTTCATACATCTCGAGAAGTGGATGTGAAATAGCCCCATGAAATTGAGTGGCAAGGACGTGGAATTGACCCAAGCTTAAGGCCGGTGGACAAAATGAGCAGCGCGAAGCTCACAAATACGTTGCGACTGGTCCTAAGCCATCAGCTGGGAATGATTCGGGGAGCGGATCCAGGTTGTGTATCAGCGATTAGGCTGTCACCAGGTAATGAAATACTACGGATCTCCTCATCACTTGTGATTAATTATGAGTTGGCTGATTTGGTAATATGTAGTTGGTTCATGGCAATTGATGGAGAGCGGCGCTAAATTATATCTAGTGACTTTTTCAAGACAATGCTAAATGTCACAAGATGGCAGGTGCGGAACTACCTGCCACTCAGTACCTGGCACGTAGCCGAATTATCGCAAAGCAAAACACGTCAGGCAAAGGAAGGCAAAATGTATTTTAACCAGCATGTTGTAAAACGCATCGATACAGAATTCTAAGTTGGGCTAATCATTGAGTGGGTGAGTATTTTGCTGACACACTCCAGCAGATGATGGCAACGTATAGGAAGGGCTCAGTACATTGACCGTGAGGATGCCACACCTGCCGTACCCCGCAGCTCACTAGTCTTAACCACAGACTGACAACAGCTGAGTTACGTGTTCGAGCTCTGCAATGGTCTGATAGAATGCGCAATGATGACGATTCCCGAAATGCTGAAACGGCCGTACAGTGCTTATCCGGGCGTGTGACGACTCTCTGATACAAAACTTGGTGAATTTCTACCTGTACCATCCAACTGCCCTACTACTCTACTTAAGTTGAGATTGTTCGTTGATCCTCAACACATCTAATCCATGGTGCGAACCGCGGCTGCTTTGAATGCTCCCCTTAATTTTTAAAACAAATGATGCGACTATTGCACTTTCTCACCTAGTACAGCCGCAACTTCACTCAACATGTGTAAGAAACCTCTTATGGATTTCGAACACTTGGAGCATACTGGGAATCGAGCGAGCAGTCACTGTTTCAGAGAGCTTGGTAAATAATCAGTTGATTTGTTCCTTTGACTACACTTCGCACTTGACACAAGAGTTTCATCGGACCGGGTGAACTAATACATATTTGGCTTTGGCTTTTACGACAAATGAAATAAGATGATAATGCGAGAAATATCCGAGTCGGCGGATAATTGTGGTTCAACTTTCAGGATGTTAGGTAATTCTTGTGCTATAATGCATATGGAAAACGCCCAAACGATCCGTATTACAGATCATTCACATGTATTGCGCTATTATTATCCGTCTGCTCAGGTGAGGTGGTACTTAGTAAGTGTAGCATTTTACATCAAGTAAGAGAGATAACCGTGGTAACTGATACATGAGTCAAGGCCTTCTTACAGAAAACGGTGGAAAAATATCTCAAGCGGTCCAGTCAGTGTTGGATTATACCTGGGGTTACACCGTCTGTCACGTTGTAAATTACAGTATTGGTCTGATGATGACGTTGATGATGTCGATCTTCGCTATCCAACCTCACCCGCATAGCGAAGCTCATCAGAGTGGCCGTACTAAGAATGTTCTTCATGCTGTCAAGAACTCTAACTACTCCATTCTATTCACACATTCATTGAGCTTAGTGATTCTGATAGCTTCGACAATCAACTTCTGAGGCTTCATTCGCAGATTATCCTAAAGACAATGGCATTATCCAAATCGATCTTGTGTCCGCTGTACAGCATGTACCCAGCTAAGGCAGAATCTCTTAACAAAGCTCTATATTCGAGCATATTCTCCGGCCATCGCAAAATGCGTCTCGTGTGTTCTAAGTTCTATGTTCTCAGCTCTCTTGCAAGTTGACCAAGTTGTATTTTTGCACGGTACGATGAAGTTGATTTTGTGTACAAAAGTAGTTCCCCTATCTTTGAGAACGCGGTCTTTCAATTGCAACAACGTTGAACGTAAATTTTAGCCATACTGGAAGATCATCATCGCAAATTACTCCCGAGGTACCTACTTTGAAGAGAAATCCCATCATCCCTACCCATTGCATTGCGGATCTGACCACTGGGTTTAACATTTGTTGTAAGACGTTTCACCAGACATCGCGCATAACCACTGCCTAGTTGTTTGTTCATAGACCTTTTCCACGCAGCGCTTCCATCTTCTTCCGTTGTGTACATGGTCTGTGGCGTGTGGTTGACCTGAAGTAAAATGAAGCATCCCTCCGGGATATCACACTAAGTATTATATATTATTATTCAACACCTGACCAATATACATTTGGCAGTGCCACAACACAGAGGTAACAACAACAATAACAAAAAGGGTAAACAGGTAGAGAGTGGAAAGTTTTGGAAGGTTTACAACCTTAGTGTGTTGTGCGGGCAGAGGTCTTCCCGGTTGCCCAGGCCGAGGAAGAAAGTTGATTTAAGGGACCCCACCCCGAGCCTTTAGTTATAAACACATGACCCGCAAGGCAGTGGGAAGATTAACGGAGACCCTTGACATCCGGGTAGCTCATGCGCCTTCTTTGTGTTCAGTAGCAGTCCATAGAGAAGCCGGTGGCCAACAAGGTTGTTCATCCACCCTCCCTTAGGTACTCACTTCTGGTTACAAAAGTGAGTGGTCAGTGACCCTACAGCCGGTCACAATGGCTTTGACACAGCGTCGTAGGAACTCTTGTGGTATTTTATGGAGAACCAGGTGACAAGCCCAGAACTCCCTACGCTCTGAGACGCTGCGGCTGATTGTCCGCAACTGCACATTCATCTCGCCTCCAAGGCAAACGAGACTTATTCGCAGTTACCTCCACAAGGAAGGCATTCCCCGATCCGCAATCAGGGGACACACCAGATACCGTACAGCTCCGCCACTAATAGAATGATTTCCTGACCAATTGAAACTTTAACCAAAATTATCCACTGACTCGGGTGATTCCTCGCATTATCATAACAATTCTTCTGTTATAAAATCCAAGTCAAGTACGTATTAGTTCAAATTGCTCGATGAAGCTATGGTGTCAAGAACAAAAGGTAGCCAAATAAATAAATAAACCGTTTGTTCGGAAATCTGTGCAACTAAAAGGTAATTGTAAATACTGCTCGGCTCGATGTCGTACTTGGTGATCAAATCGTCCGTACGTGCAGCAAGGCGGAGATGGGAAGGAACTCGCGCTATCTCAAATAACAACTTAACACCACGCCGCCTACCTTTGAGGAAAATGTGGTCAATCAAAAGCTTAAAAATGTGTGCTTGACAGCTATATACAAAGTTTATCAGTGGAGCTATAAGGCCTACTGTTCTAGATACAGCATTTAACCACTTTATCCAGCGCTAAATGTTTTTACTTGAAAACTGCGAACGATCATGTACGGGTATTAAAGTGAAGGGTTGAGTGTGAGGAATGTATGAAAATGTCCGCTTTTTAAGTCATCTCATTGATTGGGCTGACTGCGGTCAGCTCTGTGGTTGTAAAAACTTGCGTGGTTTATTTAAGGAACCATGAGGGACATACAAGCGATCCTGTGCT